CCTCTTTTTCTCTGGAGGAACGTCCAACATCCGTTTCTCTCGGAACGCTTCGCTCGAGAATCGGTGGAAAGGAATGGGTTGGGTTGGTCGGAGGAGGAAGCCTGCAAAAAATTCGGTTCTGCGATTAGCGTGGAATGGATATAAAAAAAAAAAAGAAGAAGAAGAAAAAGAAGAAAGAAGAAAGAAGAAGGAAGGAAAGGAAAGATTTAAGCGCAACGGGATTATGCTCGTGTAACGAAACGGACAATAAGAGAACGAGCGAGCGAACGAAACGAAAATAAGAGAGAGAGAGAGAGAGTTGACGAAGCGTTGATTTTCGAGCGTGGCCCCGTCGCCGGTTCTAATTAGCGATCACACACACAGGGGCCACTAATCTCATTTGCCAAGGAACGGAATAACGGGTCGGAGAGAGAAAGCTGGCGGCATTTCTAATCGGGAGCATGACTCGTCGGTCGATTAATGACAGGAGAAGTTACGGGAGAAGAGTCGGGACCAGGGTATGGGGAAAGAGAGCGATGAGAGGTTGGAGACGAAGAGAGGGACAAGACTCGAGGAGAGGCAGAGGAGAAGAGGCGGTCTGTGGAACTGGTTCCGTTCCATGGATCACTGGAAACAATCATCCTTATTAAACTCACCACCGACCCACCCCACGGATGTAAAGCTATTCTTCGGAATGATTTACCGGGAACCGTCGAAACAGGTGGATATCGTTTCAACCGACGTAATAAATTTTATACTTGTACCTAAAACTTGTACCGCCACCATCTTCCGTTCTCTCCCCCGTTCTATCCATTATTCTATCCATCCCTTGAGTTTTTATCGCGATAAAAACAAGAGGGGTGAAAGGAGGGAAGGAGAAAGGAAAGGAGAAAAAAGTGAAAACCAATAGCGAGCTGTTCGTATGGAACGTAGGTAGGTGGGATGATTAGTCGAGGCACGGTAGCTCGAGCCACACGATTCTAATCTAAATTAGATCTTAAGAGGTCGTAAAAGTAAGTGGCCACGTTTGAAGGCTTACAACATCCTCTCTCTCCCCCCCCTCCTCTCCCCGCCGTGTCTCGACGTTTCATCGTTCGGATTTCTTTGACCTCGTCGATCGGGGCGTCGACGATTCGCGATCGACCGATACCGATCGATCGATCCGACGTTGCGAAAAAACGGCGCGTTTCCGAGCCGTTTTGCTGAAAATTCGTAAAGGGACATTCGATGGATCGATGGTGGATCGTGGTAGACGATTCGATGGAGCGAACCAATCGCGAGTTGCCTCGCCGTAAAAACAGCTAATGAATATGCATCGTGATCGAGCGAGCTACCTCCTCTCGGTCAGCTAGTCAATAAACCTAAGCGGCCATAAAATCCAATTAGTGTGAAATTAATACTCCAACACGGTGAATCGAGAGACGGTGAAAGAGAGAGAGAGAGGGGGGGGAGAGAAGGGACAAGAACGAACGATCGGGGAAGGGATTAATTTATATGAAAACGGCAAAAAGATATGGAACGATCTGTGTCGAGGAAATGATCCCCGATTACGAAACGATGGATTACGCGGCGAGGCGAAATTGCTCGACAAAAATTCGATCGACTTCTTCTTTATTATATATTCGAGCCGCGATCTATTCGACGCGCTCTTCTCGGAAATTACGAAATTAAATCCCGTACCGTCCCGTGTTTTTCCCGATCAGGAAGTAAAAGCGGCCCGCACGGGGTTAGAGGATCTCGACGAGATGCCGGCGGACATTAGGCTTTATCTCGAAACGCGAGTCCGAACGTTGAAATTTTCGATAAGTTAGCGGACCACTCGTCGTCCGTCCGCTAACACCGCTAACAGTATAATAAGATAAGCCTTTGAAATTTTTACGCCAAGTATTACGGCTGCCAAATATTCCTTGCACCACTGCCAAATATTCCGTCCCGTGGCTGCCAAATAATCAGATAAAATACTCGTTAAAATTACTACCACGATACTTCATTGTGGTCGATTATTACCGAATGATCGTGTTGAAAATTATTCTTTTGACAAATTGTTACGCAATCGTGCACTTTTGGCTGGCTAAAAATAACCATGTTCAAGTTGTTCTCAATTCTTCCCAAGCGTTGTAAAATTATTTTCCAAGACTGCTTTGAATCGTGAACAGGAATGCCGATACGATTTCTCGAAGTGGCCACTTTAAAATTATAATTCAGCAACGGAATGCGAATAAACCATGAAAACGCAAACTATTCTTCAACGTTCCTTCAGATCGGATTCTCCCTCGTATTTCATCACGTAGCGAGATTCGCGTAGCGTGAAGAGTACACGTTCAACCTTTCAAGCTGGTGAATTTGCGGCAAAGCTCGATCGTTGTTTATTCTATCAATGGTGTGTACCACGCAGGCGTGTATATCTGCTTCTCTTCTCTGCATATCCCCTCTACTTAATTACGAGAACCTATGCCGTAAGGCCACAGGACCGGGCCTATTACGAGCGATTACACCGCTATTAGTTACCTACCGGGTGTTCCACTGCCACGAAAGGAAGAAAAAGGAGGCGAAAAGAAAAAGCTATCCGGATAAATTGCGCTACGCTCCGTTGTAGCTGGCACCAACGCGACTCGATCCAACAGCCGGGAACTTAATAACGCGAAATCATAGTTTTGACGCGGCGAGGCAAAATTTACGCGACAACCATTCCTCCCCAAGGGGAGTGGGATGATCGATGGGAACGCGTGATCGTTTCCCCGAATCGATACATCTCGCGAGGTTTCTCGCATTCCTCGTCGATCACAACGATCGTCCTTGCAATTAACCGTTATTTTTCCTATCCAATTTCATCCTATCTCTCAAGTTTCACTCTTTTTCCTTCCTTCAAGTATATACACACACGTACCGCGCGTATATTTTCGCGAATCGAAAGAGAAGAATTCTCTTCGACCGACAATAGACGGAATATTTCGTAGTATCGAAACTTCAGTGGCGAAACACCCGGATTCGTTTTATGATCGTGCTCAAGATCCGTCCATATTTTATCGTACGTAAATTCCACGGAATCCATTAAAAAAAAAAAAAAATCGTCGATGGTAATTTCGTTCCTAGATTCGGATGGAAAGCGCACGGGAGCCCTGTCACGAAATATTTCGGCTCGATGGAAGCTAATAGCTTGCTCCGCAACTTCCTACCGTATCTTGATCCCGTTACACCGTCGGGAAGGTTGACGAACACTAGACTCTATCGTCTACAGGTCTTCCAGTCTTATCGGTTAGAACGGAGATACGGGTTGAAGAGCTTCTTCTCGGTTAAGAAGCTCAACGAGGGGGTAGGGGAGAGGAGTTTCCATATTTTCGTGGTTTTCGATCTGCGAGGGAAGGGCAAGGTGAAAACGAAACGTTTTGGTTTCTGTACCTGGTGAACACGTCGGGATAATGAGTTCTCGAGAAAGCTTTCTCGAGTTCCTCCAATTGGAAGCTGGTGAAGGTAGTCCTATATCTGCGCTGTTTCCTTTTCGGTGCAAAGTCGTCGACCTCGGTCTCGCTTTCAGGGCTGGTCGGCGCTGCTCTAGGGTGGTTGCTCTCTTCCTCGGCTCTCACCTCTTCCGTAGAGATTCCCATTTGAGTCGATTGAGGCGTTGTCGTAGTAGGTGGCGCAGCTTGTTGGTGAGCTTGCTGGCTCACCTGTTGTAGGCTCACCTGATTCACCTGGCTCGAGCTGCTCGTGCTGCTCGCAGGACTTGTCTGCGGGACAGCTTGCTCGCCCCCGCCTCCTCCTCCTCCTCCTCCTCCTCGTATCGAATGATCTGCGACCAGAAAGTTTACATTACTCGTGGATCGACGATCATCGATATTATCGATGAAAGAATAATGCGATACAGCGGTCGAGTTATCAACGCTTCGATTATAACTGGATATCCGAATAGATAAGGAGATCCTGTTGGTTTGGCTTCCTCTCGTTATAGTCTTATAGCTTTTTTAATTTTTTCCTCGCGTAATATATAAACACAGAGAAATTGCAATTGCTCGAACCGTTCACCTAACATCAATGTCAGCCACACTGTGTACCTTCACAGAACAGCTGGAATCGAACGTATACACGCGATACAAGATGTTTCAAAGATACGTACGTATGAAGTGTCGGTGGATTAATAGCCTTCGCGTCGAAATAACGTGTAAAATTAGAATGGATCGACGATGTAATTAGACGATACGGCGTGTCTGGGTGACGTCGATATTATTCAACGATGATCGGTCGCCGCTTCTCGAGATCGGTCGGTTATTTTTGAATCGAATTATACGTGGACACGGCTACTACGGCGGGCACGGGAGGAGATGGAGACACCGGGATCGAGGTATACGGAGGAGGAGGAGGACAGAGTTATCGTTCCTTTCACCGACCTTGCTGCATTAATGATCCCTACAAGCCCACACTTCGGCACGTTCGGCGCTGTGAGTGATCATGTAACAACGTTCGATTCGCTTGTAACGACCAGAATCATTTTCACGCGCGATCGATACTTGGACATACCAGCCGATGGATCCTACCTCGTGCTTACAAGCTGCTACTGATAATCCCCATCCGCAATTTGCAATGGTATTTTACTCCTCGCTCGAACCGGTTCCCCGCCCGGTAATAAATTTCGTCAACTCGATTCGCCGCTTAATTCCTCGTTATTGAAATTCGACCGTTCGAATCGGCCCTTAAAGGTTTAAGCATTCTCATTACCATCCCATACATCTGAATCTATATTGTTCGATCATATCTGTACTTGTAGGATAAACCAATTCGAATGGAATTTTCGATTTTTTTTTTTTTGAGATCGTCGTATGACGCCTCGAAATCGAAGGTAGGGCGAGACGTAGAAGGGGAAGGGAACAAGTAGAAAGATCGAAGCGGTTCGCGCGGTGCGAATCGAGCAGCTGTTTTTCTTCTTCTTCTTCTTTTTTTTTTCCTCTTTTTTTTTCTCTTATTTGGGCCGATTTATCGGAAATGAGTTTATAATGCAGGTAGCCTGAACGTAATGCGAACGATAAGCGAGATCTAAGGTTGGCAAAGGTTGTTTTTTTTTCTTTTTTTTTTTTTTTTTTTTTCCTATTGGATTTCACCATGAAATCCATCGAGTACACGTGCAGGTTCGTGTTTCTCCAAGACGGAGAAGGAGCGTAAGAGAGGAACGCGTAGGTAGCCTTTTACATTATAATAGCATTAATGGGCTCGAAGCCGCACTTAATGCTCGTTCGTTCGTTGGCCAGTTCGCTTCGTTATTAACTGAAAATTACCGAAACCGAAATCTAATTCGCGTAAACACTGTAATTTCGTGGCGGGAGGAAGAAGCGACTGTTCGTGGCTGGCACGGATCGGCGCGAACCCGAGGTCCAACAGAAGCGTATCCTCCACTTTTTTGGCTTGGTCTTTGAAAATTCGAAAATTTCTCTCTCTTTCTCTCTCTCTCTCTCTCTCTTCTACGTTTCTCTCCTCGATTTCTCGCTCGATTTCCCCTCTCTCCCCGATTTAATTAATAAATCGAAACCGGAATAACCGGTGCTCGAGGGAAGGAAGGGTTGCGTATTGACTGGGTTGTTAATTGATCGTCCGTATTGAAAATTTTACTATGTTAATTTGTATCCGTTCCAACGATTGCAAACTCTTACTCTGTGTATCGCGAATACGGGCGATTAGATGCGTCACGCTCGATTAGATCCTTCGGATGGAGTGATTTCCGAGAGAGCGGCTTGGAAATCCGCTAGTCATTTCTGTCATATTTACACGCTACTACGAGCGCTCCGTGTACGTGTCCACGGTGAAACAGTCAACGTTGTATACGCACGTATACCCTCTGTGTGTACACATTCACTCCGGTACATTACGCGTACCTATGATCACGATTTATGGGCATACAAATTAGCGCGGCGTAATAAACTAATTAGCCAACTCATTGAGGCCGCGTGTGTTTCTCGTGGACGTGTTATAATGGGCGAGTCGACTCGTATAATATTTTTCAACGATGACATTCACTTACACCGAGCTCTCCAGAATTTTCTATAATTTTCTCTCGTCGCATTCGCAACGAAAAGAATAAGAAAAATCTCTCGAAACTCGTTCCTCAAACTTATTTTTCCCTCCCCCCTTCCTCCTCCAGTGAAAGTTGGTCCCCTCTCGGAGACAGAGTTGCACAAATGCGCAAGAGAGTGTACAGATCCGATTCTTCCGTGAGAATTATTATTATTATTATTATTATCATCATCACCGATTTTACCCACGATCTAACAACAACCACTTTTCGCCACCACTTTTCTCGGCTTCTCTCTTTCCGCTTCTCGGGAAAAAAAAGAATTCCCTCGGGCGAAAAATACCCAATTGGACGATCGAAACGATAATAAAGCTGTTGCAAGCGGCGCTGCTTTGCAACAAGCGAAGCATCATTATTCCCGAGAGCGCGCGTATACGAATCGTGGAATCCGAGACGTCGGTGTTACATCGAAAAAAAGGTGTTCCTCCATCGAATCATACTTGCAAATTCCCCCTAATAGACGCATCAATGCATCCTGTGACAAGAACCGGCGACGGTTGGACGTGTTCGATTTCTCGCCACGATAATAACGAGCAATTACGAATTATCGGCAATCCTTTGTAGCCGCTGGCTGCTCACGCGATAGCGCCTCCGATAACGACGGCTCACCGATATTTACCTTCCGGATGCAGGTTACGCCCGCACCGCATGCGCTTGTTTCAACCTTTCCACCTGTATTAATTAGCCCGTATAACGCTGCCCTCCGATAATAATTGAACAACAATGAAGAGAGAGAGAGTGAGAGAGAGAGAGAGGGAGGGGGGCGGTTCGCGTAGGAGTAATTAAAAGATGTAAAAAGGGGAGATGAGCCGAGGCGAACGCTCGACCCGTGTCGATGCGAGGCGTGTCGAGGGAAGGCGAAAGGAAAGAGAGGGCCCTGTATACCGTATTACCTTCGTGTCTAACTTTTTATATATATATACATACTCTGACAATTATCTTACGCTCGATCGTAAGAGAGGGTAATTAAGTTGGCAACAATCGATTTTTTTCTTACTTCGAACTCTCCAACGAACGAGACTTTCTCATGGAGAGTCGCGGATCGAAAGATAAATTCTTATTCGAAACGATCGATGATGGAGCCAATGGTTTAATCACGTTTAATCATCGGCTCATTGTCAACGAGAAATAAAGGTTCGTCGATTGGAACCGCTAACCGGATCGAATTTCTCGGAGAACGTGTACGCGCTTCGTGGACGAAACGATCGATTCGATCGTGTGATTCGTTCCTCCGCTGGTCGTGAATTATACGCGATACGCTTTTATATATTATCTCGTTATTGGATTTCAACCCGATGAATCTATTTTGATCTGATAGATGGTGAAAAGGGAAGAGCGTTAATTACTGGTTAATACACTTTTACGCGTTGGATCGATTGCGCTATTCGACTCGAAAGTGCGTTTAAAATTTAAAGGATTTTGGATTAATTCCAAAATACCTTTTCTCTCTCTCTCTCTCTCTCTCTTTCATACGCGATTTTGATTAATAATAAAATTTTTAGAGGAGTTAATGTGTCGATAATTTTTGAGGTGTAATGTAATGAAGGCAATTTTGAGCGTAACGTGTAATATATGAGACAAGATAATTTAAAGTTTTGCGTTTTATACGGAATATATAATAATAATAATAAAATGTTCGCTCGATAAGAAAACGGTGGAAAGATATATATATATATATATTTGAAAATAAACAAGGAAAATTTTCACTCCGTGAAAAAGAAAAAAGGAAAAGATGTTTGTAATTATTATTTGTCGCGGGTAATAAAGCAACATTCTTCACCGATCAAACGATAAAAAAACCGGATTGTGCGTGTTTGTCGTTGAACGTGTAATGAGTTACAAGACAATTATTTTCCAGTATAATTAACTCAATCGCGATATTATTTTATTTATCTATCCAACAATCACGTAATATATTTTTTGCGTTCCTATTCGTAATTAATAAAACGCGGTCTCACTCCATGGTTCAAACAAACCATTTAATTTACACGATTATTACGGCGATTCACAATGACCGACTCAAACTTTTCGCCGATTTACATCACGTGTACTCCACCACCGGTTACGTCATCATCACGCGCATACGTATGAACCGATTAAAAAAATTAATTGTCTGCTACCATTACCATCATCCGTTCGCGTAAAATAAAATCCAACGATAATTACGAATCGTGTTAGTTAATTCTTGGAATTGCGATGCACGTTGCAACACACGCCAGCCAACGTTCCGCTCCTCCGATGAAAATCTCGTGACGGCTGCGATTATAATTTGCAAATTACTCTATTAAGGGGACGGGTAAAGCCGGATCAACGTTTCCAGCCCGCGAAATCAATTAACGATCGAGAGATATCGTTGAAATAATTTGTCGACGTCAGGGAAATTGGTGGATCATCGATCATCCATGAACCACTCGAGAGAGAGAAAGAGTGGCTTCGCGGATAAAAAAAAATACTCTCGTCTCGTATTTCGAGGATATTAATGACGATGATCGGATATAACGTAACGCGTGTCGGTAAATCGCGGCCGATATACTTTTGTCCGATCGATGCCTCGACCTGCTCATTTTGTTACAAATTGCGCGTAATATTTCAATGTTGGACGAGGAAGCGGGGAACATTAGAGTGATCTTTGAACTGGGACAGGAAAAAAAGAAGAAGAAAAGAAGTCGAATAGCGCGTGACGGTATGTCGTGAAATTATGCGTATGTCACAGGATCGTAAAACTCGATGAA